TACTATTTTGAAATTTGAAACTTAGAAAGCTAAAAAAGAAAAGTCCTAAACAAAATTTCACATGAATGTACTCTCTGTTGAAATTATTCACTCAAGAGAACAATTTTCAAAGTCAAGGATATTTATATGCACTGAAAACAGACACTGCAGCACATGCAGAATAAAAAGAGCTATGATTTCCTTATCGAACACCTCATCATTATCTACACTTTAGGAGTGGTATGTGCAAGTGGTATGAATTGTGGATTAGAGCTACAGAGAGTCATAAAGCAAAGGAGTTTGCAGAAAGGAGAGAAAAAGAAGAAATAAAGAAAAAAGGGAGGGATAGTTATGATATGAATTATATGGCACACAGCCAAGGTTTCTTTTGAGGACTATTATGAGAAATCTATTGAACAGAAACAAGGGAGGTGGGGGTGATGGAGAGATAGGGTAAAGGAGGAGCTTTTAAGATAATTTTTTACTAATTGCTAAAGGTTTAATATATACATTATTGTATTCATTTGTCCAGGTAAGTAATATTATTAGACCAGACAAAAACTGGTATTTGTGAAAGTGGAATATATTATAAGGATTTAGCATTTATCTATAGCTAGGCTATACTGTGGCATTGCAAAGCTGTGGTAGTTAGTACCTGGTATAGATCTAAATTTTAATGGTCAAAGATGAATCTCTTAAATCTGATGCTAACAACTTCAACTGACATAATATCCCTCCAGGCCCTGTGGGGGTGGCTAGAATTTTATGAACCCATGAATCATCTAGACAGGAAATTATTTTCATTTATTCTTCCACATCCTACCTACATTTACAAGATGTAAGGAAATTGCACAGTGTATTTAATATCAGGTGAAAGAAAATACTTGTTAAATGTATTGCAATGTGAAGTGATTATAACAAAGGGGAAATTTTAAACTGGATTTCTTATAGTTGTTTTTATCAATTTAAAAAATGCAGCATAGATTTTTTACTTCTAGTACATTCCTTCAAAACTGCATTTTTTAGCAAAGTGTTTTGCATATTCCAGACAGTTTTTAAGTTTCTTGAATGAATAGGGGAGAATTGAGAGAACTGTTGAAGAACTGGAAAGATTCTTACTGTTTCAGAGATTTGAGTTCCTTAAAACACATACACAATGTAAATCAATCAGTTCTGTTTTCATCATCAGACCTTTACTTAAAGCTATTTTCTGGAAATATGTAATAACCCATTCATCAGCTTCATCTTTTCAGATTTAGATTCTCTTATATAAAGGTAGAGAAATCCGAAGTTCCTTGGAAATTATATGACTTGGTGAAGCAATCCCCAAAGTTGTATTTTGGTGTTATCTATTTAATGCACAAACATTCATTGATTTCATTCATGTTAACATGCCATATACCACAAAATTAATAGTACAGAAAATTAACTTTTTCTATTTTAAGAGGTTTTGGTTCACATAAGCTTAGTTTGTACAGTTAATAGCCACTACAAAAAATATTTTTATTGTCATTTTTGACTCTATTAAAACATATTTTTAGTTCAGTATTAAGGTGTTACCGGCCCTGGGTGGGTCTGCCTAGTGTGGGTTCTTGACTTCCTATAGGATCCATTTATTAAAGCTGGGGAGACTGGAACAAGGAAGGGCTTAGCAGAGAAGAAGCGACAGGAGAGTCTAGGCTGGGCTGCCTTAGCTCCCTGGGCAGTCAGAGAAAAGGGGACTTGGGGACAGGTTCGGGAGATTAGCCTGGAGATGTCCATTGCCTTTGAGTTTAAGAGACGTGTGCCTGTGAAGAGACAAGGGGGGCAGGATAGAAGAAGGGTAAGGAAAAGTTGCAGCCTGCTCCCCAGAGGGAGAGCACACATGCTGGGTTTTTTGTCTTGAGGCTTTTATCGCTTAAGAAGGGGAAGGCCTCAGGGGAGGGTTTCAGGAGACTTTTCATCAGTCCTCCAGGTGTGCCCTTTCGGGTTCATGGTCTCCACTCATTGGTCAGTGGCAGAGCAGGGGGTCTTTAGTCATTGCATTTGGTCCTGGTGTTACCCACCTGGTTTTGCTGCTTTTCTGGATCTGGCGCTGATAGACAACTGAGGGCTAGATTTATCTCCAGAGAGGAAAGGTGGGAGAGGAAAGGTTACTCTTGGTGTGAGGTGCCTGAGTTCCCAGTTTGCCCCCTGCCAGGCCCTCAGGCTTTCTGCCCTGGTGACCAAGTGCACCTGTCTATAAATTGCTTGGCTATTGTGTTGTGCTGGCTGTCTCAGTTTCCCTATTTCACTTGCCAAGGAATTTTCCTAGCTTCTTACTATCCTGTCTTAAAGGTATCACCTAATGTGAGATTATTTTGAGAACAAATTAAAACTAAAAAGTAATTACTTTCTTTAACTCTGTCATCTCAATATTTTGGACATGAGTATCGATGGGAAAATAGAATTAACAAAATCTTCTAGACCAGAAATCCTCCCCACAAAGGTCGTGGAGAAATAAAACACTGGTTACTGAATAAGCATTAAACCAGAATGTGATGTGCATTATGGGAAATCAGCAAAGTAACTGTAGAGACGGAAAGAATCTCACCCTTTATATAGCCAAGCAGATTTAAGAGATTGCATGTTTTACACTCTAACTAGTCTTCAAGTTAGATGTTGGCAACACCATTTGGACACATAATGCATCTTAATTTTATTTGGTAATTGAAATGACTATCTGTATTAGCTAATTAGCTTTATCCAGAGGAAAAACAAACCACATATCTTAATGAGAGAAGGCAGTTTTGCAACTTGGACTAATTTGTACAATGAAGTTAGGCTTCTACTCTCCTAAAGTAACTGGGAGATAGGGATACTATCTCACTCTCTTTTATTTTATGAAAGTATAGTTGACATATGTTAGTTTCAGGTGTATGGCATAATGATTTGATATTTGTATATATTGTGAAATGATCACATCTGTCATCATACATGGCTACAAATATTTTTTAAAACTTGTGATGAGAACTCATGATTTACTATTAGCATCTTTCAAATATGCAATGTAGTCACCATGCTGTACATTAGATCCCCATGACTAATTTATTTATAACTAGATGTCTGGATCTTTTGACTCCCTTCATCTATTTCAATCCTTACTGCTGAACCAGTTGGTTCTCTGTCACTATGAGCTTTAAAAAAAAATTCCACACATAAGTGAGATCATATGGGATTTGTATTTTTTTGTTTGACTAACATCACTTAGCATGACATCGAGGTCCATTCATATTGTTGTAAATAGCAAGCTTTCCTTTTTTAAGACTGAATAATATTCCATTTGTGTGTGTATATCTATCTATCTGATAGATAGACATACACACGCACACCACCTTTATCTATTCAAGTGTGCTATCTCTCTTCACATTTGCATTTCAAAGCAATAGTTCCCAGGTCCTTGCGCCTGACATTGCTGGCAAGCAAGGCTGAAAAAGCACTAGCCAAGCACTAGGAAAATTTCTTCCTCCATCATCCATGGAGAGAATTAAGTATCTTATGGTACTGAACAGCAAGTGGGGTCCTTCTGCTCACTGCCACCCTCTTGCCAAATTCTGGAAGAAAAGGTTTGGTGATAGAGGAAGAGTCTTTATTGAAAAGACACAATTTTGGAATAACACCTATCCACATACATTAGTCACAGCTTAAATCACTTAAGACTATCAATAAGGCTAAACTCTTTAACACCTGAGTTCTACCATTTCCCCCAGTAGTTTTTAATTATCTATTTCCACAGGATTAATTTATAAACCAAAACAAGGTACAAAAGCTACACAATTTTAGGGTGACAGGTTTCTGCCTCAGAGCTTGTCCCTTCCAGAACCCTGTCACCCTCTGCCAGGCCAGACCTATCCTACGCTTCACCCGCAGTTTCTTCTCCCAGCCACAATCCATCTAAAATAACGTCTTGTGGGAAACTCAAGGACTACAGCACAAACCCCCAGGTACCCTGGAGGAAGAGATGTGAAGAGCCCCTCTCCACCTCCTTTCCTTTTAAATCTTCTGCCCCTAATTCCTAGTGTTCTGGAGGCAACGGATTTTCCAGTCAATCCAGGCCTAGGCCGTTTACTGTTGCCTTGGGCAACCTCTTCCTAGGGCCCCTCCCTAATCTGCCCCAAAGATCTGATCAGATCTTTCTGAATCACTTAAAATTTGATTTGTCTTTACAACATGTTCTGGGTACTTTGAAACAGAAGACAAGAAAAAAGTCCCATTTAAAATTTATGTTTTTCTATGTGTGGGACTTTCACAACAAATAACCGTGTTTAGGGGAAAAAAAAAATATATATATATATATATTCACCCCTCTTGCTTGGCTCCCACAAAGTTTTAAAGGAGTGTAGGGTGGAGATGGAGCTGGTTGAAGTTAGATTTGCTCCAGGCAAAGAATGTGATACAACCAAAGTGCCTGGTACATTAAAAAGTCGGCCACAGGAACACACCCTTGAATTAGTGACTAATACTGTTTCTGATCACCTAGTTATCTTTGTTTAGCTCACATTACTCATTTCCCACTAAATTCTTTTGGCGAAGGACGCTTCAGAAACAGCTTCCCTGGAAACGCAAACCAATTTCTGTTCTTCACACATTCTAGACTCTTGAAGAGGTAAGGAGCACTCAAAGGACGCTTTTAAACAACATCCACCACAATTCCAGCATTGATCGTGTAGCCATTTTTTTTTTTGGTCTCAGGCTCGGTAATAACAGGGATGGGAAAGACAGCTCCTGCCTTTAAGCCACTCAGAGTGCACTGAGGGAGAGGAAAATCATTCTGAAAATACAATTGATGCAAGTAAAACGAACAGGAAAAAGTCACTGATTCTGAGGGTGAAAAATGCGTACTTAGGGGTCGCGAGGCGCGCTCCCAAAGCCGCTTTCATTCCCGGAGATTCCAGCTCCGGAGATCACCCAGCGCCCTGAGGGCACACTTAATATTTTAATCACGCCTCCGCCCCCACCCTCCGAATTCCTTTCCGGTTGCGGATCCGCCGGGTAGTCCCTTCCAGGCTGTCCCAGCTTATCACACCGGGCCCGGCCACTTCCCGGCCGCGGCCAGGCTAGTTTCCCAAAGTTTCCTGTGACGCCGCTGTCCGCCTCCGGGCCATCCCGCCCTGACTCCCACCCGACAGTCCTGGACACAGGCTGGAAGAGGAGAAGGCTACAGGGACGAAGAAGCGCCAATATACGGACCACAGGACGCCGCCCCAGCCCGGGAGCGAACTGCGAGGGCGGCGGCCGCACCCGCTGCCCGGCGCTCGCGCACGCCCACCGGGCTTGGAGTCCGAGACCCACCCTCCGCGGCCCTAGCCAATCGGCCGCGCCCCGCCTCCTGGGAGGTGGTGGAGGAGGGGGTTGGGGGCCGGCAGGCAGCACCGCCTTCCGTTCCTGCCCATTGGCTGAGGCCTCGAGGGTGCTCGGAGACCGGAGTGCATCTGGATTGGCCGTAGAGGCTTGTGACAGAGGCACCCATTGGCTGTGGCGGCCCCCGTGACGCGGGGTGGTGACTGGCTCCCGTGTCTGAGGGGCTCCTGCTTGTCAGGTTCTAGGTAAGTGAGTTTCGCGCCGCCGGCTGCGGGCGCGGTTGCCCGGGGCAACGCTGTGGGGGGAGGGAGAGGAGGAAAGGGTAGCGGGGAACTCAAGCTACATTCGGTGCCCTCAGAGGGGTGCCTGGGACTCATCCCTGCCTGCCGAGGGAACGCCGAATGCTCTTCCTCCGCCCTCGGCCACCCCCCCCCCCCACCCGGCCCCAGGCTGCGGGGTCTCCCGCCCTTACTCCGCCCCTGGCAGAGCATTCTTGGTTCAGGTTTTGGGTCCGGCTGTCTTTCTGGCCTGACGAGGCCCGCCCCTCCCACCTACCTAGGACTGGAGACTGAGAGGGCGGGTGCCGTCGCGAAGGGGCTGAGGCCGGCGCCACCGCCCCGCCCCGTAGCCGGGTCGGGGGTCTGCGGGGTGTGGGGTGGTGGAGGAGGGACTGTAGGCTCCGCCCATTACTCCCGCACCCCTTCTGTCTGCGTGCTTCTGTTCTGCAGCTGTCCTCCAGCTCTGGCGGCCACCCCGAACCCCGATCTCTCCCTGACCAGCCCTTCAGTCTCTCTTGACCCGCTCAGTCCAGCCCTAGGTCTTCTCCCGTAGGTCGGTTTCCTCACTTCCCGCTTTCATCTCTCACCTTCCATTCCTGGTCCCTCTGCTCCCTGGCCGTGTCTGGGCCAGAGGTGACTCTGAAGAGGCAGTCGAGAGACAAACTATTAAGTGTGAAGCTAGTGCAGCAGGGGCAATCTCTGCTCTGTTCTCTCCTTGCCATTTAGGATTGAGGAGGTGTTGGGTGGCACCTTTGGGTCAGCTTTCTGCCATTGGAATCTCCTTTTAGAGTCAACTTGCTTCAACAACGCTATTTGGATTGGTACTGGTAGGGGGTACGTCACACACGAATTAAGGACTTAACTGTGTTGTCGCTTTTTACTTGGCACATTTGTGATGTCCTTTAGTGCTGTTCAATTCCAAATCTAAAAAATTATTAAGGAATGTAGCCTTTGGTTTTCCTTTATTTATAGTTAAAAATAAGCTTCAATCTTTTTAATTCGTAAGGCGTGCATGTAATAATCAGTGATCTCACTGTCACTTTGACATCAACGACTCTAAGGGGATAGTATACCATTTTTCTCCCTAATTTTATGATAATAAGGAATTTCTCAAATAGAGCTACTGTATATAAAAGTATAACGTAAAAATCAGTAATAGACCAAAACCATTTCATGGTTAAAGATTAGAAAGTGCTTTTCATCCTATGGAATGGGAACAGGATTAAGGGAAAAAAAAAACCTACCGCAAAAATAGAATTATTTTACTAGTGCAGTGTTCTATTCCTGGTATACCTATTTGGTATTAACAAAGACATCTGTGAAGAGCCACAAGTTTGTCAGTCAATGCAAAGGAAGGCTGAGTATATATTTTATAACCCAGGAACACTATTTTTGCTAATACTCTTGAACCAAGGGAACTATGTTTCCAAAGGTGTTGGGAATGTATTAAAAGAGTACATGCACATAGTGGAAATGTTTTGTTTTCTTCCATGAAAGACTTTGAAGATCTGTTTCTCTTCTGCACTGATGGTTAGCAGCATTAAACATTTACACGTAGTATTATTTAGGGTCCTGTTAATGTAGTTTCTGTACTACTTCAAAGGTTGATGTCAGAAGATTAGAAGAAATAGTCCAGGCTTATGATAGAAAAATCATTTTGAGATATCTTCAACCAGTAGTTAACTATAACTCTGGTCTGTGACTGTTTCAAATTTGCCATTTCCTTTCCACCAGTATTTCACTATGGAAAATATCAAACAATGCAGAAAACTCAAATTATTCAGTAACTACCCAACTACCTACACGGCAATAACATTTTTTAAGACAGTTGTTAAATTTTAAGGAACAGAGAAACTGAAATGATCAAGTTGGGGAACCAGCATAAATACATACACCAAAATATTAAGGTGACTATTTCCATTTGTAGATGGGAGTAGTGTTTACAAAAGCTATTGTAACTTAATTCCATGAGACTATTATAGAGCAGTCTTGTAAGAAGTCATCATCATCTTCTTACAATGACTTGTAAGAAGTCATTTGTAAATCAAGGCCCAGATGATTAAATTGCATTTTGATAGTCAGAAAAAAGAAAGAAAATGTAATGAACTTGTTATACAAATAGAAGTTTTGTTTTAAAATTGGACTCCTGCGTTAATAGATTTTAGTTTTGTACTTGATTTTTAAATAAGCATGTTTTTTTAAAAAAATTTTTTATTGCTTATGCTGTTACAGTTGTTCTATTCCCCCTTTCATTCCCCTCCACCCTACCCCCCATCCCCACCATTACCCTCCCTTTAGTTTATGACCATATGTCTCAAGTCCTTTAGATTCTATATTTCCCATGCTATTCTTGCCCCCCCCATCTATTTTCTATCTACTGTCTATGCTACTTATTTTCTGTACCTTCTCCCCCCATCTCCTCCTCCCACTCCCCTGTTGCTAACCCTCCTTGAGGTCTTCATTTCTATGTTTCCACTCCTGATCTAGCTTTCGTTTTAGGTGTGGTTGTTAATAACTGTGGGTTTGCTGTCCTTTCACTGTTCATGTTTCTTTAACTTCTTTTTCTTAGATAAGTCCCTTTAACATTTCCTATAATAAGGGCTTGGTGATGATGAACTCCTTGAATTTGACCTTATCTGAGAAGCACTTTATCTGTCCTTCCATTCTAAATGAATGCTTTAGTGGATAGAGCAATCTTGGATGTAGGTCTTTGGATTTCATGACTTGGAATACCTCTTTCCAGCCCCTTCTTGCCTGTAAGGTCACTTTTGAGAAATCTGCTGACAGTCTGATGGGGACTCCTTTGTAGGTGACTGTCCCCTTAGCTCTTGCTGCTTCTAGGATTCTCTCCTTCATTTTAATTTTGGCTAATGTAATTATGATGTGCCTTGGTGTGTTCCTTCTTGGGCAATCTTTCCAACTTCTTTGGTACTCTCTGAGCTTCCTGGATTTCCTGGAAGTCTATTTCCTTTGCCAGATTGGGGAAATTCTCCTTTATTATTTGTTCAAATAAGTTTTCCACTGGTGGCTGTTCCTTTCCCCCTTCTGGTACCCCTATAATTCGGATGTTGGAGCGTTTAAAGATGTCCTGGAGGTTCCTAAGACTCTCCTCATTTCTTTGAATTCTTGCTTCCTGACTCTTTTCTGTTTGGCCATTATTTGCTTTCTTCTGGTCCACTCCATTGATTTGAGTCCCAGTTTCCTTTTCATTGCTGTTGGTGTCCTGTGCAATTCCATTCATTTCAATTAGTTTCGCCTTCATATATTTGTCTAATTTGTGGCTATAATCAACCAGTTCTGTGAGGATCCTGATGACCAGTGTTTTAAACTGTGCGTCTGAGAGTTTTGCTATTTCTTCATCGCTTAGATCTATGGGCTCTGGGGCTTTGAGATCTTGCGACATTTTTGGTCTGTTCTGGCCCTTTAAGTGTGAGAAGCAGTGCCTTGGACTCCCAGGTCACTGGGTTGTGACGCTGTATGTGGGGGCGTGGTCAGAGCGGGGGAAATGGTGCCGCGGGGACCCGCCGGCCTCGGTCCAACCGCCCACTCTCTGCCTGTCCGCTGGCGCACAAATGCGCGACCACAGTCAACACGCAGCACCGCTTCCCCGCTGTCTCCTCCGCCGGCGCTCGCCTGGTGGCTCGCTCGGTCTCTCACTAGGTCCAACCCTGCGCCTGGATTCCGCGCCTGAGTCCGTCTGACGGAGTCCTCCTGTGCAACCCCTCACCAGCCTCTGGTTTCGCCCCTTACCAGCCAGGCTGAAGAATTTGTTGTTAACGGACTCCTGAAAAGTTCAATTTTCTGTGTTCTGGCTGTGTTTTCTGTTGCTAATATTTAGTTGTCTCTAAACTTGGTTGTGTGAGAAGACATGGCACATCCACCAATGCCTCCATCTTGGCAGAAGTGATAAGCATGTTTTTTTGAAGACAGGTAGAATGGGGCTATAAATTATACAATGTATTGGTAATATACTTAATATATTGGATCGATCTAAATATGTTATTTTAGAATAAGAATGTGGTTTTATAATAAAAAAGCTTAGGTATGTGAACTTTTAAAATATTCCATGGAAAAGTAGGTAATTAGAATGATTTGATAAGGCTCAAAACTTTGTTGGGTGTTGTTTCGTGGTGTAGCTAAAAGATAATTAAAATTTTAATATATAAGTTCTCTTCATTTTATAATGAAATATGAAATGGCCTCTAAGTTCACATATGTGTTTATTGTTTTTTTAATTTTTCCATACTTAGGAAATTTCTGCATTCTTAAGTATTTGAATCCTGGTTTTCAGTTTTAGTTTACCCTAAATCTGTTTTTCATACTTACTAATGTATATAGCTAGTTTCTTAAATATTGCAGTTAAGAGCTATGTCTCAGAATTTATAGATCTTTGGATTAACTCATTATTTTTTCATATCTCATTTGTCTCTGGCAAGTTTATATATGGTTAATTTACTACATCACTGAGAGAAATGTGATGAAGGAAGTCACAGTTTTGGAACTTTGGAATGAATAAGATGTTTAGATATTTTTTAATCAAAGCTCTAGGTATTTTTCTCCCTGACTTCCTCTATCTTTCCTTTTCACCTTTCTCTTTAATTTTTATTATGAAAGTTAAATGCTTTAAAATAAATTCAGTAAAAAAAACCTAGATAAGAAACATCACCAACAATTTCATGATAGTTAATGCTTTGGGAAATAACTGAAACTCTTGTTTTTTCTCTAATATTCATCAATCATTGCAGTTATATGATTTTCATTGTGGTATATCTGCCCTTGCATTTAAACTTGCAGGAGTTCCTGAACTTGAGACTCAGTTTCCTTAAGTTAGAAGAGATTTCCAAAATCTTGAAGAAAAAATGGAAAAGAATAAATATAGGACATATTAAAGTCAGGACAAAAGAATCAGACCCAAGCAATGATCTACTTTTCCTTATTTTATAAATATAAATGTAATCCTAGTTACC